ATATAATAATATATTACATATATTATTTATATAATAATATATTATATATATTTATATTTAAATTTAAATCATAGCATCTCATGTGGTAATATGGTTAATCCCTTATTTTGTATATATTTGGTCCAGGTTCGAATCCCACAATTTACATCTATTTTTTCAATTTAATTTTAACGAGCCAATTTCGAGCCGAACACGAGCAGAACACGAACACGAATATTTTAATCGAGTCGAACACAAACACTGTGTTCACGAGCCGATTTTAAACACGAGCTAAACACGAGCTATTTCGAACGAGCATTTCGAACGAGCTGAACACGAGCTCGCTCAAGCTCGGCTCGTTTACAGCTCTAATAGCAATGGTGAAAATCTCCTCCATAAAGGGTGATTGCAACTCAAAATAGAGCTTGATTGATAGCATAAATAGGCTATGAGACCCTGAGGTGAGCAACAGTAATGCCATAGGGGAGTTTCTTTGATTGTACAGAAATAGGCTGGGAGAATCCACCTCTTTTCTCCACTTTTTGTTCTAATTATAGGCTCACAAGGGCTAATAATTGCATAAAGAAGGCCAAAATCTTTGTAAATCCATATTAGTGTGTTGATCTAATCTCAGCCACTCGATATGGGCTCCCACAATTTACCTTCATAGCCCGTAAATCCATACAATTTTGGCTCCCTTGGTTCTGCAAGCATATCTTGTGCTGCAACTCCTAGCCGTCGGAGTTGTCTGTGGTCGCGGGTGCGTGGTTCAAACGTAGCACATGCCTTTTTTTGGATCCATCCAAGCCACGATTTCCCGTTGTAGCATTTGCATCACTAACATGGTGCATATTTTGCCATCCCAATAAGCATCCCACTGATTGATCCCTAGCCCTTCGATTCATGGCCCCGCGTTCCGACATCACCATCCAATCTGCATCCCATGGATCGTGATCTATGGGCTTACATTTCAACTAGCACCGTGCAACTCACAAGACTAGGGGACCGACTCTAACCTGGTGACACAGTTTGACGTGCAAACCCACTCTGATGCGGCACTCAGCAACCAATTCTGACCCGATGACTTATTTCTACTTGTTAGTTGACACGCTAACCTGATGACTCGCTTCGCTCTGCTAAGCTCGATAGTGACACCCCTGACACGTCAGACAACTCCGACCCACTTCGTTGTCCTAGACCCAATCCGTCAACAAAATGGAAGCTATATATGGAAAGACGAGATTCAAACAGGTTGGAGCCGGTCCCCTAATCTTGTGAGATAATTGATATGATGACATCAATATATTTATATGATACGGTGACATCAATAAATTTTTATCATTCTTCATAGATCTCGGGGTATGACACAAATCTCAAGGCAATTTTTAAGCAAGAAATGTTTCACATTAAAGATAATCCAAAACTTTGATTTCAGTAAACTTACAATCAAACTGACCAATTTGAAGAGACGAACACAATTGTACTAATTTTGGTTTGATCTGAGTTGAATCGAGCCTGGATCAAGTCAATAAGTCACTTTTGGAGGCTTTCAGTGCATAATTTAAAAGTCTAACAAACTTGCATTTAAATCGAGCATCTCGACAAGACGAATCAACGAGCTCAAGATCAGTCAATTTTGGCCTTATTAAGACACTCAAATGTCCCAAAAATATTATTTATTTGAGGGAACTTCTCCAGACCATCGAATAGCATGATCTGGATTCCTTTCTTATTTTTGGGGAGTTTCTCCCTGACTATAAAAGTGGCTCTGCCACGACCCTCTTCTTGAGGGGGGGGACGAAGAATTGAGCTCAAAGGAATATCATAAAGAGATGGAGTTGAAGTTAAATGTTCTACACTAAAGATCTGACAAACTCTTCCAATCCCATCGTCTCCGACCACCATGGATCACAGCTTGTTGGTCGCCGTCACAAACCGTTGACCACACCTTGTTTGTAATAAAAATAAGCATTGCTAGAGTTAATGACCAATATTGTTACGGAGTAATAAAATGTCGTGCGGAGTAACAACCAACATTGCAGAGTAACGAGGCATGGTGCAGAGTAACGAGCCACATTGCAAAGTAACTAAGCATTGTGCGAAGTAGTGGCTGACAAGGTGGAGTAGCGAAACATTCAGAAAAGAAGCGAGTCATCTTGAACACCTGGAAAGGACGCACTTTGAAGGCAGTGCGATGAAGTTCTAGCAACTGCAATCGCTCCCGATTGTTGTGCAACGAGTTCTCCTACACACGAAAACTACATTACAATGACCCTTTTTCGTAACAAGGCATGCACTTGTACTAATCAAGCTATATTAGATTATTTCTGAGTTGTCACTTTTAACAACTTAGTATCTGAGAGATTCTCGTGCAATGTTAAGATAATAATTCGTCAGTCTATCACATCGAATTCTCTAGAAGACATTAAGAATATTTTTATGATACAATGAGACCGCTCATTTTATTGCAAAATTGAGATACTGCTCGCTTTTTAAAAAATGTTAAATGTTTGTATTAGTAAATGAAATATAAAAGTAAAATTTCAATTAATTATATTCAACTTCTAATTTGTTTCTAATGTAGTCTACAGTTGCTGCAGCCATCCTTTGCCGCCACTAATTTTTAATTTTAATATTATAAATAAAAATAAATAAATTTATATATTTATTTTACAACTTATTAAACAGCTCCAAAATATTTCAAATTTACAATATATATGTTAAATTTCAATTTTTACATATACCCCCTTGCACGAAAAGATGCATATGTGATATAAAATAATTAAATGGTATAAATATAAAAAAGTAAATAGTGAATCTTTTTAGAAAGTCGGGTCCGTATTGCTTGTGGGCTCATGAAAGTCAGGAAATGTCTGTAAATGGAGAAAAAATATTACATCAGTACTACGCACTTTATTTTTAAGTGCGTAGCCAATCAAAACACGTCACGACATCTCGCGCGGCGGAGTAAGAAAAACGGCGCAGTAACACGGAGAATATTCCCTCCTGTGTTATTCATGTGTTATTGCGCGTTATTCATGTGTTATTGCATATTATTCATGTGTTATTGATGTGTTATTGTGTTATTATAACACCAAGAATATTCTCATGATACAATAACACATGAATAACACACAATAACACTTGAATAACACGAGAAATATTCCCGACAGAGAAAAAAATGACGCAGTAACACGGAGGAATATTCTCTCCCGTGTTATTCTTGTGTTATTGTGTGTTATTCATGTGTTATTGTATCATGAGAATATTCCTGGTGTTATAATAACACAATAACACATGAATAACACATGAATAACACACAATAACACATGAATAACACAGGGGAGAATATTCCCCGTGTTACTGCGCCGTTTTTTTTCTGCGTCGCGCGGGGTATCGTGGCGTGATTTCATTGGGTACGCACGTTACTCTACGTGCGTAGTACTGATGTAATATTTTTTTGTAAATGGAATGGTATAAGAGAATGGATATGCGCTATGGAAGTCGTCTCCGGGAATCTTCTGTGAAAAACGAAGATGACATGGATGTCAGACGATCTGTAAATAGATATAAACGCATGTATGTTCTTATCTAACCTTCGGGTATCAATTTCTTTCATAATTTACACATTGCATGAGCTCGTCAAATTATTTTGATAGTTGGCAGTTTGACATACCAGTTCGGCATGTCAACACGACAGCTGAGTTGCTAGATGAACTTTGTGGAGGTGCTCGATTGACCCACATGTTGATCGGAATATGACAGCAGAGACTTCGGCAAATGGACGACATCTTTAATGAAATGGGCCGACCAGGCTTAAGAAGGCCCGTTAATATCGGTCTTGGCCCAAGAGGTTTTGTGGGTTTCCACAGTAAAATTTAGGTGTTATATATGTAAATAAATAGGAATTTTTTTACTCATCACACAACATGTAAAGAATTTTATTAAAAGAAACTATGGCTTTCTTTAGAATTTTTTTTAATTTTTAAATAAATTTATATTTATTCTTAAAATAAATTAAATTATTTAACAAAAAAAAAAAAAAAAAACACTACTCACCGTGGTTCACTGCCACTGTCACAATCATTATCTTATTAGCTGCCACCATCACATAAATAAACAAAGGCTCAATTTTTTTTTATTCCGAACAACTTTTATTTAATATCATGAAATAAGAAAATAAAATTAAATAAATAATAAACCCGAGTCTCCATAACCCCAGTTCTCAATTTAGACTTTTGCAGAATTGTGTACATCGGAGGTTATTCAGAGGGTATTGGAGGGTTATACGTACGTTACAGAGATGTTACAGGGGGTATAACACGGAATAACCTCTGATGTACGCAACTCTGCAAACGTCTTACGCACGCAAATTTTTCTCCTCAATTTAGGGGTTGTTTGGCCTGCATAAAAATCAAATCAATGTATTTGTTTTGCACGTGCTTTTAAGTATTTTGGTGTTTGATCCGCCGAATTTCAAATATGATATAAAATATAATCAAATTTTGAATATATTATATAGTACATTTCCTTTGTATTTGGAATTTGGTCAATTTTGCCGATTTCTGAATTCACATCTATAATTAAAGTGTTCTTGTCCACCGACGTCTCCCACCAGCCACCGACAGTCGTCAATGCTTGTCGCCACTTATCTCTGTTATCCATCGGCGGCCATCGGTGCCACCATCAGCTGCCTTCGCCTGCCGCCCACCAACCAGCTTCACCGCAGACCAACTCACAAACGCATTACTTTTTAAATACATTATTTTCATTCTAATTAAAACCAAACAATAAAAATTAAAGTCCTTCATTTATTTTATACTGAATCAAATAACGTCAAAATATATTAAATACAATACATGGTATTACTCCTGCATTAAACTTATTAAATTCCAGAGCAAACCGGATATTAAACTTTAGGCGCAAGGCTCATTCAGCCATCTTCGCTAGTTCTGAAAGACATTTTACTGCACTCCCAATTTTTCATGACCTTCTTAGTTCTGAAAGAAGACAAGTTGTTTTTTATCATATCTGAAACATATGGTCAGCCTCTCTCCAACACTCACGGTTACCAAATTCATCAGAACCAAAGGGCGAAAATGTTGATGAACATAATGCGGCAACAGATAAGGCAATATATATTTTTTGGCTTTTGGAGCCATTGGATCTATCTGCAATTCCTGTCTCCACTCGGTCATGAAGTGCCTTCTACCGAGTTCTCCTTTCTCATTCTGCTCCACCATAAGCACAAGGTAACTAATTACTTGAGCCACTAATAAATCTTCCTCGCAGCAATTTCATGAAGATTTTCTTCTGTTTTATTTTGCAGATGTGTAGGCTACCAGCACACCTTCATTTTTCATACGCAGGAATCTGGATTATACAGAAAGAGATGGGAGAAAACTGGATCCTGTGGAGCTGTTCAATATGGAGCAGAGGATGTAGAGTTTTCAGAAGGTTTGCCGGAGGGAAAGCGCAACGGCTCTTCATTTGGAACAGTGGACGCTGAAATAACTCAGGAAACAGTAGATTTCTTTGTCAGTGATGCAGAGGGAGATCCGGACCGCCCTTCAGAAGGTTATTCATCCATTGCTGAAGCTATCAGAGCTTTAAAACAAGGAAAGGTCTGATTCAAATGCAAGATGAGTTTTCTGAGTCAAAAGCAGTGATTTTGATTCTTGTTATGGTATTAAAACTTTATTTTTAGTTAGCATTTAAGTTTCTGATAGAGTTGCTACAAAATCTGAGTAGTTTTTTGTTCGGGTATTGATTAGAGAACATTGAAAGAGAACTATTGTTCTTGTTAATTGTGTTCATTATCCTATAGTTTGTGATTGCTGTAGATGATGAAAATGGTGAGGAAGAAGGTGATCTTATAATGGCAGCAGCTCTTGCAAGCACAAAGGCCATTGCTTTCATGATTAAGCATGGATCCGGCATTGTAGCGGTGGGAACGGAGGAGGAGGACCTGGAGAGACATGTTATTCCGTTGATGTCTCCCATTACTGGAGCTGAGTGCCCTTCAGCTGCAGCTTATGCAGTCATGGTGGTATGTTTCATTCTTTGCTATATAAATGTGATTGGACAGAGCGTTTTCTTTGGAAGAATATGCGGATCAAATTTGAACAAATAGGAAAATGAATAAACCAAAGATTATAATCTTAAAATATGCAACTTTATGATGTAATTAAGATTTACCGAGGTCTATGACTGCAAAGAAATCGAATATTTTATTACAATCTTCTTTTCATACAAATTGAAGATGTAGATTAAGATACCATTGTTTCGATGTTAATGATAATGATGGATTGCAACCACTAGTAGTTAAAAATGTGGGTTGTAGGGGAAGAATACGTTCTTGCCCTCCCTTGGTTGCAAGAGCTTCTTTCTCTTCTTGTGTTTATATATCTAACATCTAAATTTTGATATTTACATTTATAACACTTTAATGTTTAGACGTTATGCACCAAACGGTGTATTTCACTTTTAGTTAGTTATAACACCTAAAGTTAGGGCATTCATCTCATGGTGTCGCATTGTCAAATGCTCTGATTATTGAACTTGTGTATAGTGCAGCGGCGCTAGTCCTCCTGGACACCTTATTTTCGAGTGCTCTGTTCCAAAATATGCATCAGGCCCGGTGACCCTTCCGGTCGTTGCCCCTGAACCCGACCATTCATCTCATGGCGTTGCTTTGTCAAATGCTTTGGTTCTTGGACTTGTGTCTGGCGCAGTGGCACTAGTCCTCCTGAACACCTTAATTTCGAGTGCTTTGTTCTAAAATATGTATCAGGCTCGGTGACCCTTCCGGTCACTGCCCTTGATGCAAGCAAACTCAATGTGAAGTTTGATCGATGAAATTGAGAGCTTTGAGTGACTAATTAATCTCCATGATTAAACACTGATCCACATCATAACAATCTTCAACTTGGCGATTGATTGCATTCAATTCCATTCCTCTAAATCTGCAACATCTTCATAGTTACGAACAATAGTGTGGTGCATCCCCAATCTCAACTATTCTAAACTCCAATTGAAGCCAAACATTGCTTCAATTTCTCAACAATTACAACATCAATCAACAAGTCTACAGAATTTTGAGTGGTGCATATCTTCTCCAAAGATAATTGATCATCTTTTATGGGTAAACAAATGAAATTATAGCTTAGTTGAATGTGTTTCATCCCATCATGAAATGCCGCATTACTTGTTAGATGAACGACACTCATATTGTCACTATAAAGTTTTTCATTCTATTATTGTTTGTTCAGTTATGCCATAAAGCCCTATAGTCAAATCATTTCTTTTATAGTTTCGATGATAACCAAGGATCTAAAAATCGGATCGGGCATTGAACCGATAGAAGGAGAGGTTTAAGGCTCAAAGGTTGAACCAAAGGTCACCCGAACGACCTAATAAATCATACATATATTTAAAATTAACAATAGATAAGATTCACATAACATTCAATTCTTATATATTTAAATATTTAAGCATGAAAACATGTATTTCACTTTTTAAAAATAGTAATATTTTATATGATATGAATGATTTTGGTGGTATAAATATAAAAAAAGTAGAGTTTAGGTGTTAGATATGTAAATAATAAAATTTGGTGGCATGTATGTAAATTGAATTTCTTTGTAATAGTAATATTGTTGATGTGATATGAGTGATTTAGGTGGTATAAATGTAAAAAAATAGAGTTTAGTCGTTACATATGTAAATTACATAAAATTAATGGTATGAATGTAAACAATCACAATTTCTCATTTAGGGGTCAAACTGGCCCGTTGTTGTTGGTTCTAAGTCGATTCAATCCAGTTCGATGTGGGGGTGGTCGCCAACCTGAGCCGAAATACTTGTCAGTTCATAGCCGAATCGGCCGGTTCGATCCGATTTTCTAAATGTTGATAACAACAATATACCCAGCTTCCGTAGTTGATAAAGCAACAACTTTTAGTAACCTGAAAACCCAACTCACTGTTGTGTTCCCAAAGTGAAATATAACTTGTTTTACTTCTTCTATCATTAACAACACATGTTTTATTTGAATCTGCATGACCATGTTGATCAATCCATGTACTTCTAAAGTAGAGTGTTTTATTGATTATTCCGATTAACTATCTGAGAATCAACTTCACTGCTTCCCAATTATGTTTTCCTGAATTTTCTACGTACTTGTTAACCATTGTCACTATATGTGCAATATCTGATCTTGTACATATCATCACATACATCAAACTTCCAACAACTAAAATATACGGGGTTCTTTTCGTTTGTGTTTACTTTGCTTTAGACTTAGGCGATTGCTTCTTGAATAGCCTAATTTGACTAATTAAGAGGATGCAAAATGATTTTGCCTCGTTCATGTTGAACATGTATAAAACTTTTTCACCATATTCCGTTTGAGACAATTTTAATGTATCTGCACTCCTCTTTGTGTTAATTCTCATTCTGAGAATTTTCTTGGTTGAGCCTAAATCCTTCATTTTAAACTTGCTTAAGAATTGCTCCTTCGAGTTCTTAATCTTATCCATATATGCTCCTGCAATTAGCAAGTCATCCATACAAAATAAGTATAATATATCAATTATCAAAATGTTTAATAAAATAACAGTGATTTGTTTGGTAATTTTTGTAACTAGTCTCTGAAATAAACTAGTTGAACTTCATGTATCACTATCTTAGGGCATGCTTCAAACCATAAAAGCACTTATTCAATTTGTAGACTGTCTATTCTCTCTAGAACTTCATATCCTTGTGGTTGCATCACATATAATTCTTCTTCGAAGTCACCATGCCATAATGTTGTCTTCACATCTACTTTCTTCCTAATATAGGCCTTTCATTTTTACTAAGCTCAACACAACTCAAAAAATTGTCATCTTCACTACAGGAGAAAATAACTCTGAAGAGTGTACTTCTTTCCCTTTCACAACAAGCCTCATCTTGTAGTGCTTGTTACCATTTGATTATCCTTTTAGCTTATAAATTCATGTCTTGTGCAGTGTCTTTTTGTCATATGTTAATTCTATCAAATCCACTTATCGTGAGAGATTTTGCTGAAACTAGTTTGACATATCTGAAGTAGAATGTTGAGCAAAAGCATACTCAACAAGAAAACACAGGAAACACAAAATAACACTAAGATTTAATGTGAAAAAACCCTAGAATAGAAAAAAAATCGTTGAGTCGGGCTACGCCAAGAAATTTAGTATAAAAAAAGGGGAGAATTATACAAACTACACCACACTCAAGCCTCTTTGCACTTTTTAGAGACCACGAACAATCATTCTCTTCTTCCTTACAATGGAACAATTGAAATCCAATGCCTACAGTGAAGCCAAAACTTAAAGCCTCAAACCCCTGAATTCAATTACCGACGCTGTGGTTCCACGATAAAACAGAAGGGCACTCCACTAGGAACAGGAGTGTTTACCTCCGGGCACTGCATTGCCAAACACTTGGGTTCTTGGACCCATGACGGGCACAGTGGCACTCCTCCTAGGCGTTGTATTGTCAAACGCTCCGTTATACTAGTCGCAGCGGCGCTTCTTCTTGGTGCCGGAGTTTTATGTACAAAAATAATTTTTGGTGCAACTCTCCCGAATCAAAATAGGGGGAACAACCCCTCCACAAACTCACAATCAAACTTGATGGATGAAACAAAGAGCTTTGAGTGACCAATTGATCGCCACAACCAAACTTCACATCATAACACTCTGGCAAGCAACTAAAACCCAAAGAGTTAAAGAATGCCTGAATCCTTCTCGTTTTTATGAAAATTAAATATCGACTTTCATTTTCCAACGGCATTTTTTGACAGAGAATTTTGTTTGTTGTTAAGGATGCGAGAACAGGCACTTCAACCGGAGCATCACCAGAAGACAGAGCAGGAACAATTGCTGAACATTCTTCTCTTCACTCTAAGCCAGAAGATTTCAGAAGACCTGACCATCTCCTTTCTCTCAAGTACAGCAAAGGTGGCGTTTTGGAGAGAGCTCGCCTCACTGAGGCATCAGTTGATTTGGTAGTGTTAGCAGGGTTGCGCCCGGTGTCCCTGTTGTCCGCCATTATTGATCCAGCTGAAGGTTCCATGGCAAAGTTTCCATTTTTGAAGAAATTTGCGAAAGAATTTGGTTTACCAATTACATCAATCACTGATCTGATAAGGTATATGTGCGTGGGAATGAAGTTGGTAGTAAGTTTCTGCTCTGTGATGCTGATTAATTTTTATATCCTTCTAGGTTTTTGCTTGGCTGCCGTTTATTTGTTGTTTTATGCTTTATAATGCACATATAGTAATATATAGGGTTCTTGCCATAGGATTTTTTCTATTAGTAGAGTGACTTCTTTCTTAGGGGGTGTTTGGGTGCAAGAAGGACTTGAGTTAAATAAGATTTAGTAAATCCGATAAATTGGAATTTGTTAAATTTAAATATCATTAAATAATGTTTGGTTCAATTTAGATTAAATCCACTTAAATTTATTAGAGGTTTTTGTCATAAAACTATTTGAAATATATATATTTTTTTCCTGCGTTAAATCTGTTAAATTCAATTAATAAGTTGTTGTGAGATATGTACTTCCTGGCATAGAAATGAGACGAAAAAGAACACAAGCAAACACAGATCGTTTACGTGGTTCGATCCAACTGGATCTACGTCCACGGGAGGGAATCAATCAAATATTTCACTAAGGCAAAAGAAATGGAGAATACATAGCTTATACATAGAGATGAACCCTCATCTTCCTTCTATG